GGGAATTAAGCATTGTCTGTAGATTACCCGAATAGTACACATTTAAATAAAATACTTTTAATAGCTTAATTCGAAGTCTATTAGTTTCTTTTTTTACAATTTATTTTAACTACGGCCCGACGTTTCGGATGCCGTGGTCACGATGACTCATGAGGTCGGGCCGTAGATAAAAGAGCCGTTAAAATTGTTTTATTTAAATGGAATGAAATAATCAACGTTTAAAATTTATTATTATTACCATATACATATTGTGAATATTTGTTAAAGCAAGTATTTCATATTTATCATTATACAAAACTATAAGTACCTATAGAATATTGTTACACTGAGTAGAACGCAATCACTTCGTTGTGTATTACAAACAGGTTTGTACAGGTAAGATTGGTTATTTATTTATATTATTTACATGGTTTATTTATTGAATTACACATTTTTTCTAAAATAACAAATGTAAATAAAAAATAAATATTCTTTTAGTGTCTACTATTTCAAGAGCTATTCTCAATATCTTTGTCACCAAAGTTTTATAACATCTCGGCTTATTGGAACTGCAATATTGTGAAAGAAATATTGCAGCAAAGTGGTGATTTTATTAAATATATCGGGGTCATTTCCTTTATGGGCGAGCCATTGCGCGTAGTGTACTGTCAAATCGGCACAGTACACAATCTAGGATGTAATTTTATAGACTATTAAACTAATATTAAACGTTTCCCCCAAAAACTGTATGTGGCATTAAAAATACCTAAAAACATTAATATTATGGGATCTAAAGAGGGGGCTGGGATTAAAAAGCAGACACAAATTGTTTTTTTTTTTTTTTTATATTGAGGTTATGTATTTATATGATAAAAGCAATTTCAATTATTAGCATAATGTAAGTGATGTTGTTCGTGCGTAGTAAAATCTATCAAATTTTGGTAATAAAATTTTAGGAAACACTTTTTCAGACATCTTTTTTCTTTGACTAACGTTACTGTACAAACATGTATACCTAGTTAATAGAATTTTAAACTCCAAAGACAAAAATCAAATCACATGTAGGTAGTTTACAATATAAAAATAATTTTGTGTGTTCTGGGCTTAAATGGAAAGGGCTGTGGAGCTATATCACGTAAGACATATAGGGCGGGCGGAAAAGCGGAATGTGCATTCCCCGCCTAAGGGCAGACATTCTTTGTGCAACGTATGTTGTATATATTGAAACTATCGATCATGATATACGATATTTTAAATGAAATTGTCTTATGATATTATTAGGTGTAACGGAAGTGTGAAATATAAAATATTTGCACTTGCCCACTATTTAGTATACAGATTTCCAGATGAAGTCAAATTTATTTTAAAATGAATATACATAAATTGATATGAAACATATTGGACCCTGTGAGTATCGAATCCACGACCCGGTTATTATTAGCCATATTTTGCTACCATTACACCAGCCATGCATGACTGTATTAGTACTTTCGTTAATTCAGTTTGGTACAGGGCAGTAAACAAAGAAGAAGTAAACTGTCAGGACCGATTTATTTATACCCTTAGACTATTACCGAGGTTTTTGAGGTACTTACGTATAGAATATTGACTACTATTCGCTACTATGTTATATCTGTACATATTACGCGAATGGGACATATTAAATATACTCTTATAGTCGTGATAGTCAAGTCCCGTAGTTAAAAATATTGTGTCGTAATAAAAAAATTAAATAATTCGCATTGTAAATTGTTAAAACTGTTCTAAAGAGTATTTAGTATATTTTAAAAGTAAATTGTGTTATTATTATACTAATAATTACAGAAAGCAAGAAACCTTTATTGGGTGTAAAACAAATACATGTGAAGCAAAAAAGCTCGAACATGCTCTAGATTAAAAACGAACACTTTTGTTTGCAGTTCGCATTGAGTTTCGTTTCATGTGATAACTGCGAGTTCAACCGTTATATCGAATTTTAGACGTTATTTATAAAAACTGTTTTTAAATAACTCAGTAAGTACACATACAATACATATAGGTAAATACCAGACTTCGTAATTAAAGCAATATGAAAATAAACCATTTTGTAAATCCTTAAGCGTTACGTGTGGTGTATTTAACTTCATTGTGTTCCAAGACGAATGTGCAATGAACAAAATTATGCTTCGCTTAAAATTAAGAATAATTAACTGTGGGAAGGATGTTATATTCATGTTATACCTAACAGCTGTTATCCACGACTTCGTTCGCGTCTTGCAAGTTAATCTTAAAACATAGACATATATTGTCGCGGATATTTTCTTACATCATTAAGGACGAAGCATTCCCTTTCGTAACGTACACAATGGAGGCTAATTATAATATTCATATTAATTACTATATTACTAGTAATTTTCGCCATTCTACTACATCCCCTATGTTTCTTCGCTTCCTTTTTGGGTTTCTCGATAAATGGTCTATTCGTCACATTTTTTTAATTCGACCCAGTTGTGTCTGAGATTGCCGTGTTCAAACAAAAACTCTTCAACTTTCTGCTATTAGTATAAATTATCATACTCATTTAATTATTGAAAATTATTGTTTTTCACATTGTAATGATGGCATTCATTATTAAAATAATGATAAAAAAATTACATAACAGCTATTTCTCTTACCAATAAGGCTATCTTGTCACATGTTAGCGCAAAAGATACCGGTTCCGTTCCCGCGCGTGTAATTGATTTTTTTTCAATCCATATAGATTTGACGGACAGGAGTCGGAACTATTTATGTGACGAAGCGAATAATTTACCCTCTCATAAGGCAATATTCAACCTTCAATAATGTCGTTTGTTCTGTCATAACTTCATGTAGAATACGAAGACAAAAACAAATATAAACAAGTATAAATTAAAGGCATTAATCACAGGTAGTCCTAACAATGAAAGACATCACATTACCACACCATTAGCCGTTCTCCATTGAAGTAATTACACCATTAATATATTATACCCCAACCGACCCTTACAATACTGAAGAATTTATTCCCGAAAATTAGGGTCTTATAGAATCTTGCCCTTGCGATTCGGGACAATAGTTACTGGGCTCATATGTAATTTAGTTTCGGGAACCGTATTTAATTGTATTAGAATCTATATGTATAATTCTATATAACATTGCAAAGAAAATTATAATATGCTTTCACCTGAACAAAGCAACTTGCTGAATAAAAATGAATCTCATATAGCTTATATTAGATTGAAACCTTACCTTGTATATATTGTAACTTTAAATAAGTATTAAAGAGTACCAAATAATAATTAAACATTGCTTGTAGTTTCAGCTTACACTCTTAATGTAATGCTATAATATGATCGTGGATGCTTTGCATGGTCGTGTTCTTTTAATGAAACAGTTTAAAACCCGTTTTACATACATTTACCATAGCAAATTATATACCCTTATTTTCTACGATTACAGTACTCTGTGCTGCAATCGTAGTATGTTACTATGTATATAAAACCTACGGCGCATCTTCGGGTTCCTTGGTCGAATAATCAACGAGTCGTGGATTAGATCCGGAATTCTGGATTTGAATTGGGTGGTAGGAATATCGAGAGATCCATTTGAGTCACAAACCATCGTCCACCGATGAATGAGGCGGTAAACGTGATTCGGTTTCAGTCGCCAGTTGCCAAGATGTAATGTGGCTGAAGTATTTCACCTACAATGCTTGTCTGTCATCCTTTATCTTAAGAGAAATAACTTAATTGTTTCAATAATCCTTTTGAATACATAAAACAAATATAATATGTCAGAACTACGGAAAAATGAAGATTAAAATATTCATTGCATTTGTGTATATGCGCTTTTCGTGTAATCCGTTTTGATAGCGCGTAAACAAAATGTTTGCGTTTCATTTTGCGAGTTAACGATGTTTTTAATCCTTCACCCTGATACAGTGATACGGGCAGCATATTATTTTTATTCTGATGTTTTGTTGAGAGCAAATATTATTTCGAAAATTTTATATCACATTTTATTGATAGTTAATGCTGAAACAATGTTATCCCATACTGTGTTTTTGTGTTGAACATCAGTTGCGTTTTATATACCTACTTTTAACAGTTATTATAATTACGGCCCGACGTTTCAACCTATAAATCGGCCACCGCTTGCCACATAATACTCACACGAAAACAAGAAGAGATCCAACGTTCAATTCCAGCGCAAGTGTGTGGGTAAACATCTATCTATATCAGACTGAGCAAGTTTCTAACAGACATCTAAATATTTAAGTTTTTATATAGACCTTATTTTCTGTATCAAAACTTTACTTCAATTTCTACATTATCGGTTAGAGCGGGGTGAATTTAATGACTCGTTCAATTTAAATTTTACGACCAAGTAAGCAATGCTACCTTTCGGTCAGTATCTATGTAGTTTGGGGCTCAATGCTTAGAGAAACGGGTGTATGCAATTTTATTGCTGCTATGCGAAACCTCAGATACAATAGTATTCCATTTATTTAATACCACGTATAAAAATGAAAGACTGTCTCCGGTACAAAATATGTTCGGAATCACATTATAAATAAAACACTTTTACGGTTTAAAACGCGATATATTTTAGTAAAAATTGTTTGAAAATTTTCAGGGAGACAGAGTTTCCTCATGACTCCACGGCTGCTGCAAAGCATCCGAATCATTGGGTCGTAGTTAAAAATAATTCTAAAACTAAAATATATCGCGTTTTAAACCGTTAGTGTTTTATTTAAATGTGTACTCGTCGCATAAACTACAGACAGTATCACATTATAGTTTATTTGTAATGATATATTGGTAATTTAATTAACTGTACTTGGCACACAATAAATTTCAGATCTTGAACGGTATTAAAGCAGCTTTTCTCCAATAAACAAATATTGACCGTTACTCTCAATGCTTCTTGGATAAGAGACTAATTAAAATGAAACAAATACGATGTTAATTTTTGAAGGTATAAAAAAACACAGTCATAGCAATATCATTTATTAAAAACACTTAATAATTATAGCTGGGTTCTGGCGGATGGTGCGGGAACGGCGGGTGACCAAACGGCGGTGGCCCACGCGGGGGGAATTGGGGCCTGAACTGTGGTGGTGGAGGCCTCCACGGCGGCGGGGGTCTTGCGCCCGGTGGGGGCGGCGGTCCAAAGCCAGGGGGTCCGAAAGGTGGCGGGGGAAAGTGGTGGAATGGCGGCGGTGGTGGTGGAGGTCCAGGCGGTGGTGGCGGTCCCGGAGGTGGCATGGATGTCGGTGGTGGTGGAGGCGCTGACATTGGCAGAGGTGGTGGTGGCCGAGAGTTCATTGGGGGACCTGGCGGGGGCATGGGAGTGGGTGTTGGTGGCGGTGGTGGCGCCATCATCATCGGTCCCAGCATCGTAGGAGGTGCATCCGCGAAAAGTTGATGCGGTCGGTCGGCGTGGGATAGAGGGTTCTGGGCAGCAAGCAATCTGAAATGTTATTGTTACTTAGTTGCATATTATAAGATAGCTATTAGAATTTATAAAACCTAAAAAAAAATAGGGATAGATTTTATACTATGTTAACTAAACAGAAAGAAACCTGGTCTGCCACTGGTGGCAACCAAGATAATTCATATTTATTTACATTTGGTAAAATCTTACAGCAGTTATCAATGTACCTGTATTCATTAAAAAATATATTTCAAAAAACAAAATTTAGCTCCTTATATTAAACAAAGGGCTCTAACTTACCTCTCAGCAGCAGACCCGTGCCTTTCTCCTTTGACATCTTTCTTAAACGCATATGAAACTGATATTGGTCTGTTACAAAGGTACTGATTGTTCATAGCTTCAATGGCAGCATCAGATGCTTCAAAGGATGCAAAGTTGATAAATGCAAATGCCTTAGAATTACCAGTTTCTGGATCTCGCATGACCTGTAAGAAAATTGGGAAGTGACGAAATGCCCACAACTTTAAGTGTGATATGTTATGTAGATATCATAAATATAAAGAAATCCAAAGGAGCAGTAACCTCACTATGTGATAATCATTTCAAAATATGAAAGACACATAAGTTTTTTTTATATCTTGATGGTCAGAAAAGCTATATATATATATGACTAGATAGGACACCAATAAGTGTAAGTGATGTCTCTTTATCATCAGGCACATGTTCAAATTTTACCTTGTGTACATAGTATTTTAATAAATAGTTACCTTAGGTGTTTGTAATATAACACCAAATGCAGAGAATGTATCATACAATAATTTCTCATCAACTTCAGGATCCAAGTTCCCTATGAACACATTGGCACCCACATCAAGATTCTTTTGATGTGCTGATGCTTTATTAACCCTTACTGGTTTACCATACAATTTTATCATATTCATCACCTGGAAGCAAGGGAATAATTCATAAATGATGGTCAATATATAATTAAGATTATATATTAGATAGACTTACTTTTATAGCATAATCAGCATCTTCCTCACCCATAAACTCAACAAACCCATATCCTTGATGTGTTTGTGTTACACGATCCTTTGGCATATGTACATTAACTAAAAATTATAGCATATAGTAATTTATGTAACAAGTGATACAAGTAATAATAATACTTAACTTATTCACAAATATTTCCTGTAAGCATCTCCTACCTAAATAAAGCGAGCCTTCTACATGTATTTTGTTTTATTTCTCTTCAAAGACCGAAAAATGTACTTACCAACGGGTCCAGCTTGTACAAACAGTTCCCATAGTAAACTCTCACTAACTCTGTCATCAAGACCTCCAACGTAGATGGTCGCATCTGAAATGTTATTTTTACCACAACTACGTGAATGATTAAAAAACACTCCCAGTACCAGACCGCTGGGCTAGTAAATGAAATAACAAATACAAATAAAGTAACCTCAAAAGTGCAGCAACTTACCTTGATTTCTCTCAGCAATTGGACCTGCTGCCATTTTAGATTTTTGTAAGTAACTGACAATAATTCAAATTAATTACTGCACTTCATAACTTGCAGTATTTATTTAAACTTACAATTAATAAAAACACAAATCTGCAACAAGACGCCGCCGTAAATACTAGGTCAAAATTAGTTGACAATTGACCATTTGACAGTTACAGTGATTTTAAATGTCATAATGACATAAGAGTAAGGAATGTCATTAAACATTTTCTTTAGACAGGTTTATTTTTCAGTTTGTTTTTCAATTTCCTTTAAGTTACATGTTAAAGATTGTAATTATTTTACCGATTTCTTTGTTTTTGTATGAATTTAAAAATTGTTTCCGTAGTTCGACTTGCATAATAAATAAATAAGTGAAGAAATGCAAAGTGCGTCAGATATTATTTCATCGCTTTTGTGGTTTAAAGAAAATAGTAACAATGAAAATGAAAATGAATCGCAAACAATTGAACAATTCGTGCAAAACGTTGAGGATTTTAGTTCTCAGTATGGAAGTGAGATAAGTGTTTCCTACACCGCTTTTAATCTCCGCGGACCCCCTTCGAACTTCCCCGATTATGGGGATTATCCACAAGCGTTTGTAATGGTAAATAAAAAATAATAAATAATAACGATAAATTACGATTGGCATTAATTAACTTTACTTATTATTTTAGAGAACTTATGGAACCTGGTGGGATGAAGCACCATCGGTGCAAGAGGATTTTATGCCACAAAATACAAATATTATACCGAGCCAGGACTATGTAGGTTTGTATCTTGTACATTTATTTAAGTGTCATTCTTTGATACATTTAAATATATGAATACATTTTGTTCCCACAGAAGTTTCCTTTGAAAGATCTGTATACCCACTTGAAGTAGCAATATTTGAGACATATAATCCTGGTGCTTTAGTAAGGATTTGGGCCTTAGGACCAACATCATGGATTTTGCTATGGGAAGGTGAACCTGAGTATGCAGGTGACAGCCCAAGAATATTTAGCCCTCCAATACGTCAAATTAATTATCCCACAAGGTAATATATTGCCATTAAATTTGGGATGATATCAGCAATTGTATATAAAAAAGATGTGTGATAATAAATCGTAAATAATTATAATGTCATTAGCATTACGTTTACTGCGAAATAAATAGATATAACCGATATAAACTCTATTACAAAAGATAAACCTACCATAAAACATTTATTATATTATTATAGGTACATACTAAAGCATTAAAAGTATATATATACTTTGCATAACTAAATGCCTGTATTTAATTTTTTTTAATCAACTGCCACTTTTGCCACTAAACATATGTATGTACATACAAGTTCATATTACAGTTGTGTCCGTTTGTTAAATGTAGGCTTAATTTTAGTTTTTTGTTATAGTCTTTAACATAAAAAATTTTTGTTTAATGTTACTTTAACTTAAGTTTTGTTTAAATGTGTATGTGCTAGCTAGCCTACCTAGCTGCTAGCTTTACTTATTCTACACAAGTATATTTAATTACATTTTTTTTACAGAATACTGCGTCTAGAATTTAATCACAAACTACTACCCTATTATACGGAGCTTGATGCAATACTTCTAAGAGGCAGAGAGCCACCCAGTGAATTAAAAAAACGAAATAACTTTTCATACTCCACACTATTTTATAAAAAGACGCAGCCGGAAAAAGGTATACTGCAAAGATTGATTAGATGTCTATTTTCTTCTTTTAACTTGTGTACTGATCAAATAAACAAGTTATTTTGAAAAAAAATCTGCCATAGACAGCCTAATAGCTCACGAACTAATTGGGTTAATAGCTTAAACTTGTCGATTATGAATTAAGTTTACAAACAATCAATATATTGTCTAATACATTAGGAATAATTGTGTGAAATCTGGTCAGTGTCCAAGTAACTGATAAATGTATACTAATATTATACAGCTGCAGTTTGTTTGTTTGAACTACTGGTTCAAATTTACCGAAAAAAAAATCTTGGACAATCTATGTATTGAGGAAGGCTTTAGGCTATATCATATTACCCTGCGAACAATAATATAAGGAGCAAAGAAACAGAGAAAATTTTGGAAAAAAAGGAAAAAATATACCACTTGGGATTTCCCTTGCTTGCGGTGCAAAAACAGTTTAAGTAACCAAAGAAAATGTATGATAGAATGGTTTCCATGGTCGAAAAAAATCGTTGATAGTTTATGACTATCCTTTAAGATTAACTCACGGACGTATTCCAAAATAACTATTACACGCGGATGAAGTCGTAGGCACAGCTAGTGTCCTGCCTGGCGGATAACCCATTTTACTATTAAACCTCAAAGGCAGCTGTTATTTTTTATATCTAAATTTTAGGAACACTCTTAAATAAGGTGATAGCATCAAATCTTCATGAGAAGGTTTTACCTCCTGGTGTATTAGCTAAGACTGAAAGAATAAAGGACACGGGACCTCTACAAGGAGATTTCGAGAGGCTACCGGTAAGAAAACACTGTTTGAGCCTAACTACTAGTTATTGTCCTAAAGACACTTTTTTTGTAAACGGTTATATAAGAAAATTTATTTCGAATTTCGGCGCTAGGTTTTGTAATACAAATATTAATCTCGCGTGCATTGCAATCAGTTGTTATTCATATAAGTATATATATCTTTTTTGGTTGTAACCATGTATTTTGGATGAAATATTTTCATAGACCTTGAACCTAATCTAGATGAATACAAATTCATTTTTAAATTTAACAATTTCGTTAAGTATTCATGTTTTTGAAGGTTATGTGGTATTGGTTTATCGTGAAAGCCTGCTGTGCAATAAATAGGCACCTTTCGATAGAGCTAGTAAGCTATAAATAGACGAACACGTGTTTTAATTACGTTACACACGTGTTACTAAATAATTAACTTGTTGTTAGATTCTTTATTAGTTCGCAGACTGTATTAAGTTTAATCATGTGAGTATCATAAAGAAAACACGTTACGGTATCAAAGTCGAAATATCTTAGATTCTTTATATAATTCGTATTAGACATCGTTAAGTGTATTTAAATGTCATCTACTCATGCAAACAACCCAGTTATTTTTTTTCATTTTAATTCTATATCCATGGTGATAATTTTTTTAAATAAATACAATGAAATTTTTATTGTTTCTTACACCCACCCACTTAATATTTTTCATTCCTTTCTCCTGTACTTCAAGTTGCCTGGAAGAGATCATTTCTTAGCGATAAGGCCGCCTTTTATTAATAAGTTAGTACATACAATTTTTTCTCTTTTTTATGTTTTTTGGGTATGTGATATAAATAATAAAACTATAGTAAATATAATAATTCGACAGTTTTTTGGTCAGACAGTTCATAATCATTTATTTTGAAATAACTGTATTTCGACAAACAAACAGACTACTCGTTACTTTTAGTATCGTAATACAGTTTTTGTAGCTTTTCAACGAACTTAGTTTCATGAATAAAAAGAATAAAAAATCACCTTAGTCTCATTTTTCTGAGCTCTAAAAATTTTCGCAATCAAAACAAACGATTATTGCCGCTGATAATACTTGTCTTGTTCTTCCGGGGTCTAGTAATCTGGGAAATCACGAACAATGCACTCCTAAGTAATCGGTAATTGCTCTAGACGATACGACGACGGTCAGTTTTTTTCCGTCGATCGCCGTAGCCATTATAGAAGGTAATTATTTTCTACATCGGTACATAATGAAGTGATAAGTGGATAATATATTATTAGTTATTTATAAATAATAAACACGTATATTCCTTAAATGTTATAAATTTATATGTTCATTGTTAGATTATAGTTTTTCATCACTTTAACGCCAAATATTTAAATTTAAAAGTCTAGGTATTATAAAAAAAATGTTTTATCTAAATTTCACACATACACGTGCAGAGTCTTCTAATTGTATATTTCAAACAAATTGCATTAAATACTGTCTGTAGTTAACGTAGTAGTACACATTTAAATAAAATACTTTAACGGTTTATATCGCGTTTTAAACCGTTAAAGTGTTTTATTTAAACAAATTGTACTGTTTACGTCTAGACTGGAATCTTTTTTACCGTTACATTTTAATTTTCATTCTTAGGTAATCTATACTGTACTTGACTAAATGCAATCCAATTTAGTTACAAGGTAAATTGAAATTGTGCGTAACTTATTATATTGACTAATTATACTATTTCATATCATCAAATAACATTTTATTAAAATTATGTGCCTCGTGACGTACATAATGAACGAATATGAATAACTACAAATGCAAAATATACGCCGCGAACTTTAGATATAAGATTTCATTCTAACGAGTATTAGTATCTATAATACATATAATAAAATGATATAATTAAATGTTGCTTTGTCTTTAGTCTTAGAAAGAAGCAGTACATTTCGATTTAATCTTTCTTCAAATACTTTTTTAAATCATGGTCCTAGTATTTGAAAAGAACACAGTTCCGATAGGGTTTTAAAAGAATATTTTATCTTACTTTAATCAAGCTTCTTAGATGAAGGGATCTCTTACGAGATCTTTGTTTAACAGGACGAGACGATACTATGTGTAATGAAGTACCTGGATATGCAGTCGCTATGCCGCTGCGCTCAAGTCAACAGACATTTCCGAAGGCTGGCTTCGGATGCGATTCTCTATCGGAGCATAGACCTTCGTCCGTATTGGCACTGTGTCAGATCACAGGTAGGACAAGGATCATTGAAAAATATCAATAGTTTATTAAGAGCTTTGCCAAGTTATAGTCGATTAGAAACATTAATCTCTTCCAACGGCATTTAACACGAAATACATATGAGACTGCTGGAGGCAGAGTGGCCTAATAACAAAAAAACATGATTGTCAATAAGGAGGAAAATAAAAATGCGCAATTAACTTAGTAAATAAGAAATATGTTAACGAAAAGACTGTGCTCTTGTAGATTAACATTGTTGGACTATGAAAAAATAAATCAGTCATAAAATTGCAGTTAGGCTACTCTGCCTCTAGCGGCCTCATATTTTTGTAAGCCTATTTGTGCGTAAAATTCGTAGTTATTAATTATTTTACTAATATTTGTCATGTTTTAAGTCGTTGGAAGTCATTTGGCAAAATAGTTATATCTATCTAGGTTGTTTTTTAATAAAAAATTTATTTACCCTTGAGATAGGCTAAACTGACTTTCCACGCTTACGTAGTTAAACAAGTATTATATATCAGTAAAAAATTGGATACTTAAAGCAGAGATTAGAGAAAATATGGTGTTATGAAAGATTATACTTAGGCAATTTTTTATCAAATGTGTAAAATTTTAAATAAAAACGCCACATCGCGCATTTATAATTTTTTCATAGATTTTATAAAATGTAATTATAATTATGACAAGTAGATGTAAGAGTTTTAAATTCTCAGAATTTATCAATGAAATGTAGAAAATAGTACATTTAATGATAGAACTATCGCTTAAGGGTTCCGTAGAAAAAAAATGGTCCGTCAGTAAAATTGAAAAAATAAATATTTATGAGTACATTACAAGTAATTTGGCGTTATTTATTATAACGAAAAAGACTTAAAATCTTTCGTGTCCGACTCGTACTTAGCCTTTTGTTACAAAATGAAAGTAGAAGGCAACAGATAATTTATTCAAGTCAATAATAAGATATATTTATGATCGTCAAACCATTTAAATAAAACGTTTAAAACTAAAGACTCTCCGTGACCACAACTGCTGCAAAGCATCCGAAATGTCAGGCCGTAGTAAAAATATTTTTCGAATAAGTTTAACTAATATATATAGCGTTTTAAACCGTTAAAGTGTTTTATTTAAATGTGTACTACCCGCGTAAACTACAGACAAAATTTAAAGTCAAACCAGTTAAAAACTAAGGACGAAGATATGACTATTGTTACTTTATTGATTGTAAAAACAATATTGTCGATCATACATTGCAATAATCAATGGTGAAACGCCATCTTCAGGTACTGATGACGCTGTCAAGGCGATGCAAGTTCCTTCAGAAACTAGATCTGTCGTGGTGCGGAAGTCACTGTATGATACAATCGCATTACGTCGTCAAGTGAGTAAGGCTTTGTTTATGAAAAGAATCAGGTCTGTGCTAAAAAAGTAATGATTTGTAATTCTGTCATATTTTGTATAAAACCAAATATAGGTCGACAGTGCATTTTATATATAGTATAAATAGATTATAGAGCATTTCACATGTCCAATGTGAGCCACTTCTACTTGACAGATTGGGGAGTTTTTACAATAATCTAAGGCTGATATCGTATATTTTTACCTTTTTGAAAATCTTAACTGTTATAGAAAACAGCTGCGTCTACGCAGGATAGAAACGTTGTTTTGAAGCTATAATAATAGCTTAGCGAAGTTAAGGTTTTCGTGCGTTTAATAACCAAATTAAATACATACAAGATTAAAAAATATGTTTATTAAAACCACTTTTTAATCTAAGACGTATAGTAACCATTAAAAAAATTTTAGCTTCTTAAAAGACAGCGGCGCTGAGTTGACTCATCTTCGACTGAATTGCTGTAAATTCGTTGACAACTCCGTGTTAAGAGCTGTAGTTAACACATCCGCTAATTTACAAGGTAAGCCTATGTGTGTATTTAAATATAAAAGGTAATAACTCAATATATATTAGTTAACTTATTTTCGACTATTCTGCAAGGACCCAGCGAGTTTCGCCAAATACTAACCGACGGAACAGGTGGCGCTAGCGTGGCAGTTTTTACTCTAGCATTAGGGACACCCTCCATCTTCAGTCCCCCCCGTGACCACGCAACCGAAACGTCAGGCCGTAGTGAAAATAAACTTTAAATAATTTAACGAATACGGTTCGCGTTTTAAGCTGATAAAATTATTTAAATGCGTAGAAACTGTGTACTAATCGCGCAAACTACTTTGTGTGTGTTTCGCACATTTATGTTTTATTATTATATTGTTATAGCCTATAAAAATATCAATAACGTTTCCTTAGAAATTGTAGATTAGATAATAACTTTCAGAATAATAAGAATTTTAAGTAAAGTTCTATGATACCTTACTGGCCTCTAGAGTCTAGAGTGTGTTTAATCCGAAGATGGAGACAAAAAATAACAAGTTTTAAAGTTATTTAATTTTATATATTATTGAGAATGTTCTTAATTATCATTTTAACTTGAAAAGGTTTATATCAGTAAACAGTAAAGGTGGCTTGATGATATTTTCGAATAGTTTTTTCTATGACATCTCTGTCTCAAATTATATTAGATTAAAAATACTGGGCAGTACTCCAACCGGCATCGAAAGCGTTCTGTTACTATAACCAATTGAGCTACCGTGTCCTACACGTCATCGGCGAATTTTTTTAATGATACATGCACCTCTCGCGCAATGTAACTTCAACCTTCACTTAGATTTTGAATTTAAATATCCTATGCTTTGCAACTTAAGACATCATTAAAGTTGAAATAACAAATTATTAACGTATGAAATCTTTATTATTTCACCATCATATGCAATAATATAATGAAATTTCCAAAATGGATATGTTTCAAATAGTTCCTTTATATATTTATCCGTTATAAATGGATTTATTCGATGACTTTACTCGTATATAGTAAAACTAAACTGAACAAAACAATAACACAAAATTGCCACTAGCACGTGAGAATGGTAATACTTGCTTGTACATTCAAAACGTGGTATACTTTATTTCTATTCTCAAAAAATAGACATGCAGGAAACGTTTATGATGTATTCCGGAATATTCCATAATTCAAGATTCATATTTGCGTACTTTATATTCATATTAAATGGATTCAAATTCGAAAAATGAACATGCAATACAAGGACATTTACATATAAGACAGACTACATACGTATTAAACTTCCTGAAAGATGATTCTGCTACATTGTCGCCGATACTAATGCTATCTTACGTATTTTCTGTAGCTTACGCGATTTATACGAATTTAAATAAAGCATTTTTAACAGTTTAAAACAGGATATATATTAGTTAACTTATTTTTGTCGCCGATTGACCACCTTTGCTAGAAAACATCGTAAACGTCAGTCAATGTCGCGTTTTAAACCGCCAAAGCATTTGGCAGTTTAAAACGCAAATTTTATAGGTATATCGTGTTTTAATTGAATCGCACAAACTATCAACTTAACTATAAGTAGTCGTTATGAAACCAACTTTAAAAATTTACGTAATACGTATAATGGTCTTTTAAATATGATATGCAATGTATTGATAAAAAAAAGCCCTGTTTTTGATGTAAAAATCACTGCGTAATATAAATTGTATCGACATTTTAAAGCTTCTTTGAATATTGACACTTTTATATAAAACACTTTAACGGTTTAAAACGCGATATATTAGTTAAACTTATTTGACAATGATTTTTAATTTCGGCCCGACGTTTTGGATGCTTTGCAGCAGCCGTGGTCACGGGGAGACCGTTTTAAACCGTCAAAGTGTTTTATTTAAATGTGTACTACTCGCGTAAACTTAGACAGTATTTAATATTGACACACGTCATTTTGCGCTTAATCGAATAGCTCAACATCTGATGATGGCGAACGTCGAAGACAATTTCCCAATTACGACGGTTGACAGCTGACAGTTGACAGCCATAAGTAGCTCAAATATTTAATAGAATATACTATTTTACAGAACTGTGTCTACGCTCCGTGGTAGTGTGTTCTGATTGGGGCTGCCTAGCTGCATTGACCAAGTTAAAGCGTTTGGACTTATATCGAACTCATATAACGACTGGTGCTGCAGTGGCTATTGTACGAGCTAACCCCGGCTTGTTACATCTCAATGTTGGTAAGTTGAAGAGCCGCCTATATTTTCTTTAAAAAACCTATTATAATTTTTAGAAAGGGCTAAAGAACAATCCCTGATATTTAGACTGATGGTGTAATTGTTTTTTTTTTTAATCGAAAAGTAAAACAAACACAGACATTTGTCTGCACCATGCTCCTAGTAGGGAAAATGGGAGAGAGGGGATTACAGACATTTAATCGTTAAAAGTCTATAGCCCACAGCCTAGCAGGTTAACCTAGCAGATTCGATGATGATTTCAGGTTCGTGTAAAATGATATCCGCCATGGATGAGGTCGCTTTTGCCCTCGGAGCCAATTGCCCTGGACTTTTGTCAGTGGACTTTTGGAAGTCGTTTTCGCTTACTGCAGCTGGACTGCGTGCTTTAGGTAACTGTAGGAATCTACAAGAGTTGGATGTCGGCTGGTGGTATGTATTAAATGAATTGCTTATTCATATCAATTCGCCAAGAATGGTATTTAAATAGAATGTGATCTAGTTATAATTATTTTGGTCTCAGTATTGGTTGATCAGAAATAAAGGTTATTGGTTTGTAATAAGGCTCTTTTTTGTTATATTTTATTTATATAGACAAAAATTGTATCATTTTAATGCACACAAATGTTGTTGTTTCAGCTTACAAGCTGGTGGCTCTGGAGAATGGCTATCAGCGCTATCTGTTAGGGAATTGAGGAAGCTGTTTCTAGGTTCACTGCGTGGTATTTCCGATAGGGACCTCCGTGCCCTTATACCTCACGCCAAGAATCTATCTCAGCTTGATTTGTTGGGAGTTAGGGCGGTATCACCAGATATTTGTTCCGAGTAAGTGTTTAATTACATGTGAAAGTTTTATTTTCACTTTGTTACATTAAGTAGTGTAGTTAATCTAAGGATGTTTTTATAATAGAGGATGGGTTCTCTTTATGAAAGGTGGAATACCCCACTGTCATCTAAACAAGATGATCTGTAACCCTTGACATTTAGAAATCCATAGAATAAAACTAAACGGATTTTTCATCTGTGGACGATGGTTGACAGATTTTCAGATGAATTAGAAAACTCTATCTAATTGAGATGTTTGACTCAGTGGGAGTATTGGACCCACGACCCGTCGATTATTAGCCATATGATGCCTTTGTCTATTATTATTGCGTTATCTGTCATCCCGTTTTTGTATTATTTGTTTGTTCTAGGATATTAGCGGAATGTCCTGAGCTAAGACTACTGGACGTTAGTTTTTGCGATCAAATACAGGAAATGCAGGTTTGTGAATGTTTTCTCATTCGTTTTTTAATTAATTGTAACTACCTTCGCCCGTTTTAGCTGCTTTGCAGCAGTCGTAGTCACAGGAGTAGTTAAAATAAACTCTAAATAAGTAAACTAATAAATTTCGCGTTTTAAACCACTAAAAGTGTTTTAATTAAATGTGTACTACTCGCATAAACAAACTCTACTTACTTACAGTATATAATCTAGTTAAAGCTCTATTTTTGATTTTTCAAGAATCACTGAGTAATTAAAAGGGTTTGCTAACAATTAAATTAATAACATATAGTATTAACAAAATACATGTCAGTATACTAATTTTTATGTAAATAAGCATTTTTATAACTAATATATTTATTACAATAAAACACTTTAACGTTTTAAAACGCGATATATATTAGTTAAACTTATTTGGAAATTATTTTAACTACAACCCGACGTTTCAAATGCTTTGCAGCAGCCGTGTTCACGGTGAAACTCGGGCCGTAGTTGAAATAATTTCCAAAAAAAATTAACTGATATGTATCGTATTTTGAACCGTTACAGTGTTTTATTTAAATGTGTACTACTCGCGTAAACTACAGACAGTATTTAGCTAATGTATGTTTGGTAAAGGATTTGTAGTGAAATGTTTTACTGATTCCAGGTCCTGGAATGGCGTCGGCAGTACCCTCACGTCAGTATTAAACGATCTTTCCAATCAGCTAACCTCAGCGGAGAACCCAACCCCTTGTTCTTGGAGCCAAGTCTAGGATGGAATTTCATTTAGTGATGCATAAACATCAAGTAAAGTTTCATTTTTGTTCTTCAGGTTATTTTTAAAAGCAATGAAATATCTTTCGTTTGTATTTTTTTTTTAAGTTTAAATTTTGTGTTACAATTATAACCTATTTTATGTTATATTAAAAAAAGAAAATGTTAGTGTTGTCATATGGCGAGTTCAAAAAGATTATATAAAAGGTTCGTATATTTTTTAGGCGCACATAAATTGAGTAACAAATTGTTAAAAAAAATATAATAAGTACATACAACATGGGTACTAGTTAATGAAAACAACTTAAGAAAAAGACTGAATATGAGGTAAATTTCTATAACAATCAAGCTACAGTTGTTTTACTTGGCATCAACTTCTAAATTATAGAACAAAAATAATGATTTCTATTTAATTAAATCAACGTCAAAGTAGGTGATACTTTGTGTATTTTTTTATGTTTACCGTTTGAAGTCAGTTTTATTTTATTTTCAACTTATGTTTTTTTAGACTGTCGCTTTCGGGAATATATAAATATATATAATCGTTATTTAAAGTTATTATTGTACTTTATTGTAATGTAATTATTTTTTCGATAGCTAATTGTGTTTTCATTAAAACACGACACTACAGACGTTTTAATATTTGCAATGTTTATATCTATCGATCTCACACATACTTCAACTAGTTTCAAGTCAGCTTTAAAAGTAGTGTCTGTAGCTTACACGAGTAGACTCATTCAAATAAAGCACATTTAAAGTTTTAAAATGCGAAATATATTAGCTAAAATCAAAACTACGTTTTACCGCTAAAAGTGTTTTATTTTAATCAGCTCTACAATTTCGTTTAGGATATACAAACAATAAATAAGTAAGACTGATTGTTACACAAAAGTCAATTGAATCTCTTGTAGTCATTCATATAATAAAAAAAATAAAATTAGTTATAATAAATTAGTTTTTATTATTTAAAAATACATTATGGTAAAAATGTTGGTCATATTATTATTGTTTCTGACATTTGACAGTTCGAAATGTCAAAATAGTGTCATAATAATTGACAATGTTTCGGGAAATCTAGTTTGTAAAAAGATCATATACTACAATTTTAAAATTATGTACTAGTCTAATCTATAACTGTATTCTATAAGAATTAATATAATCTGTAATATCATCACAATTAGTACACTTAGTAAAGTAAGAATATATTCTTAGAAATTAAAGAAACGTGTTAAGATGTCAATTTATGTACTTACTAGTGTAGAGAATATACTCCTGTTTTAACAGGAATAGTTTTAGTACCTTCCATAATAAAACCGAAAATAAACAAAGTTCTATTGTCTATTGATGTTTATTTCTCTGAGAAAATTTTGGTATTTATAAAGTTTGTATCAGTACAAAACAAAGGTACAATTTAGTACTTATAAGTACTTTTCTAATTGATTTAAAGTACTAATAAACGGTTTCGTTTATTTTCTTTGAAAAACCTTATAATTCTACACATGTGTATTATAAAGATTAAAAATCTATTAAGATTGAAAAACAATAACGAAACGGGGGAGACTTGAACCACCACCCACACCGATCCATGCTGCTGCTCTAACCAATTGAGCTTCCGGATTCTTATTTTTGCAATGGCAATAGATTTGAATGTTCAATTTCTATTCTGTGAAGTCAGTTTCGCGTCAGTTTGAAGACTTGCATAAGAACAAGTTAAGACAGTAATACATTTATCAGTTATGTTTAATAACGTTTTTGCAAAAGATTAATTTAAGGGCTTAATGTTATTTGATAAAAAACCGGTATTAATTTTGCATTACAGTTATTGAAGTACTGAAGATGTAAAATATATCAAATAAAGATTATAAATATAACAGAGTTTTAACGCAGATGTTTACGTTAAGATGACTGAAATATGTACGTTGAAATTGGTTAATTCAAACAGATTTAACAACTGACAATAGGCGTAATGTGGATTACGGGATACCCAAAGCAGGAATGGGCGCATGGCGCATCTTGTTTAGATTTTTATGGCTGGTATTTTCCTTCAAGGGAACCCTATACTCGCATATCATAAAAAAGAGCTTGGACCCAGCTACTTAAACCTTGGATCTTGTCGTGTGTAGCACTAACCACGAAGAACGAGGTCGTTGTATTATTTATTTATTTGTATTAATAAAACATATTTATGTTAACAGTAACCACCGCTGACAGCGATTAGCAACAGAAAGACCTGGAAGCGGCAGATAAAATATTATCAAATTTAATATGTGCATTAATACAACTGATAAAGAGTGTATGTATAGCTGTATCAAATATCTCATCTAGATAATACTTGACCAAAACTATTATTATGTATAGTAGTTTAGTTGAATGTGAAGAATGGTCTTGGCTGAAGCATAGTTAACATTGCATCATATTTTTTGAATCGTACTTCAAGAACATATTAGAATTTTTCATTGGTTTGGTGCTCAAAGGTAGAAAGTTTAAACAAATTAACTCTCATGTATATAACCGATCTCATAGATTAATTAAATATGTGATACATTTTCCTTCAAGACTAGGAGTTTTACAGCGACACCTTTCTCTATATTAGATTTAGCAGGACTTTAGATTTGATTTGACCTTTTGACGTCTATTGTCAATCTCCGGAAAAAAAATATATGGAAAGATAGATATTTATATCAATACTAGCTTAGGTCCGCTAGAAAAAATATTAAAATAATTGTAATTTCCTTCATCCTGTGTCGATAAAACGAATATGTGGCTCAAACTTAACTTATGCTATTAGAAAGTTTAAAAAAATTTTGATTTCTCTGTATATATTTTTTTCACACTTGATTCACAAAATGTGCATACTATTTCTTTGGTAAAATACTTATATGCTGCTATGGAAATACATGTACGGAAATCTGTAGTATTAATGATATCATAATTACACAGCAATAAGTAATGAATGGCTTCAAAGAAATAAATAAGGGCATTCAAGCTAGGAAAAGGGTCTTTAGCTGAAGTCATTTAAAAAATGACTTGCAGCAAAATTCGCATATCACCCCTGATCAATTTGGGGAGCCAGATAAGCTTTGTGGTGGACAGGTTTGACAATAGATATTTAAGTCTAGATCTCTAGTTGGTCTAGTGGTTAGTTACATTCGACCTTCGATTGCCAGGTCTAGTCAGGTATCGCGGGTAAGGCAAAAATGTTAGTTAGTATGATTGTTTATTATCATTAGTCGAAGTTTAAACCATCATCTCTAAGACCTTATGTCTATGGACGATATTCACTTGCCATCAGGCTGCCTATTTGCCGTCGATGCATAAAACACGAAAAAAGGTAATTTTTCCCGTGTAGTTGGAAGTACGTTAAGACATCCGAGACCTGTACTCAGCTGTGGGATTATTATAAGGATACCTATATCTTTTTAAATATTAAGACGCCCAAAGACCTAGCAGACTAAGCTAAATTTTAATCCAGTACACATCTGTGGACGCTATGATATTTTTTTTTAATTATTTATTCTCCACAATAGTTAGAATGATGGGAGATAACTTTATTTGCTTATTTAGTTGTCCATATAACTGGATCTGTTTTTTTTTGCATTAGTATTTATTGCGTATGTTGTACGCCGTCCGGAACTAGTGGCGCTAGTGTCAGACTGGTTTTAATATTATTCTAAAGTTACCATTATATTTTCGTAATAGAATTTACATATATAGCTTTATCTTAATTTATGTGACATGTCTATGTAATAAACGGATTATTGATTTATTATATGCAACCAGAAACTTGTACTAAGGACTAATCTCTATGTATGTTATACTTTACTAATGTTATAAGACTAAAGAGTTTGTTTGTTTGTTCGAACATCTTAGCTTATCAGAACAACTGACTCAAATTAAAATTTCTTTGAAGAAAAAAAATTGTGTTATCTAAATCATTTATCCAGGAAGGTAAAAAAAATAAAACATCCAGCTGCAAGTAATTGGAGCGAAGACACAGCGAGCTATGCACAAAAATAATTATGAATCTTACTTGCGCTGCGAAAACGGTTGAAAGTGCTCAAAAATAATTTTAAAAGAATTATTCTTCTGTAAATGATCTCAGAAAATGTCCGCGACAATATATTATGTCTATCTGTGAAGGTTACCTCTAAGGAACCGTATTTATGGTTTTGAGGCTCCCATTTCGTCGAAATACTTCATATGGCAAAAAAACGTTTTGCCATGTCATCTAGTTATTTAAAAAAAAAACAATTAAACGATCTAGTATTCAAAATACTCGTCTTAACGACATTATTAGTATGAATAATCAAAATATCCCCGGCACAAATATGAGAATGTTTTATTTTCCTTGTGCAAATAAAACAGCTGTCATTCCAGTGTATAGAAGTTGTATTATTTCTAACCACTAGTGGGTGTATACTTAGTTGAGTGAGTGTGTTGTACCTATTTACATGTAAATTGTTTTGCTATTATCTACTATGTCATAAATAAGGAATGCAAATAACATTGCTAATTATTAATATTATTGTGGTGCAAGTGCATAGTGATAAGATCGTGGTTATTAGGACAATTATTAAATAATGAATTTTGCAATCTATATACCATCTGTAGTTTACGCAGATGGTACAAATTTAAATAAGATATATTAACGGCTTGAAACGCGATATATATATTAGTTAAACTTATTTTAAAATTATTTTTAACTAGGGAGTTTCGGATGCTTTGCAGCGGGGGGACTAAATATGGCGGGTGTCTCTGACGTCAAAGTAAAAACTGCTACACTAACGCTGTTCCGTCAAAGTCGGTTGGCGATGGTACAAAGCATCTGAAACTTCGGGCCGTAGTTAAAAATAATTTTCCAATATGTTAACATATTTATATCGCGTTTTAAACCGTTAAAGTGTTTTATTTAAATGGACTTACTATTTATAAAAAAATAACATTTGAAACAAGTCTCGCGTACATTATAGATCCGTTTAAGTACTGTACTCATTACTTTAAAAAGGAACTAAATTTGAATGCCCTATTTACGGATTACTACAAAAATAATCGTAATTCGGTGACAGATAATTAATCTCAACCGAGATTGCTTTTATAGATTACGAAAAATCTATATAAAAGGTATTGTTGAGGCCGTTGATAATAAGTATTTAATCGTTTATATAGGAAGTGTTAAGGTAAGAATAATTTAATATTTCCCTATTTAAACATACATTTTCACGCGGGGCACGTGAGTGTCCTCACGTCCCAGTCTATGTTTGACTGACTCGATTTTATAAATAGTGACAACTTCCAGTCAATACATTACTGTACTGTATATAATTTGACTGGCCGAACTCTTTATCGCGTCTCCCAACGTAGGACATCTCGAATCTAAGACATTAACCTTTTCACCACATCTTAATAAGACGTATGGTCTAACTAATTTTAATGTTAGTAGACATGTGTTCAATTTAGAGAAGATAAAATATTCGTTAGGTAGCACTTTTAAGATCAAGCAGCTTTTTTAAGGCTTAAAAAATACATTTAATACACTCGTTCGAAATAACATTCGTACCAAGTTTAAAAAATTCAGTTGCTTTCTTAAGACTTAACTTAGTGCACAACTTAAGATCTACCCAGAAACATTCTCCCCTTTATAAGTGTAACTTGTGAGTTATTATATCTCATTTATAATTATGTGTTTCCTTAATAAACTTGTGTAATTAGGGAGAGTACATACCTAAGTTTGATAACTCAGCGAAGTCCAAACTTAGACGTAGGAACTACGTACCTATTACAAGTATTAATTAATTATTACATTAGGTAATGTTGGTGGTAATATTATTTAGTTTAGATAAGTAGAATTATTATAGCGTATTATAGGACGTTTGTATGTGTTTAATATATTTAGGTTATAATATTACTTAGATTATATTATTAGTGCTATATTACTCGTAAACTAAATTAGTGAAAATATTTTTACGTTTGACGGGCTCGTTGGTCTAGCTAATGGTAGCTGAGAGGTCAACGGTTTGTGGGTTCGATCCCCACCAGGTCCAACATGAATTATAATTTTTCAATTTAATTTTTTTCTAAAACATGTTGAACTTCGTCTGGATATCTGGATATTAAATGTGTGGTAGGAAATTTGAAAATTCCCTCACCAACAGATGGAAAAGGCGTAAAGCTTAATCGCGTTTCGGTTTAAGTCTATGGTTTCCCGAATATCCAAAATAGGTCCACAGTCTGTTCACCTCTAGCATTGAAAAAGAAATACGTCAGCATTTTCAGAGTTAAGCATTAAAAGATTAAAAACAAAATAATATAGATATTTAATGGTTTCCTTTGTGCGTTAATGCTTATTTTCTATAATGAAATATGTAATGTACACAATGATTAAGTTTTCACTTCTATAATACGAATAAAATTAGAATATAATAGATAATGTAATAGTTAGGGATTCAAAATCATAAAATACAACATTTATATATGTACCCAGTCACCGGTATGAATCATCATTCGTGGGAGTTTGTGTTTTCATTATGTCACATCAGGAAAATGGGCTGATTGACATTTAACTGGCAAAAAAACGTATCGGTTTCGTTCTAGTAGACTAAACTTTGACATTTTATTATAATATGACATCATAGCCTATTGTATATTCCGTTTCGTTTGCCATAATCTAAAATATAATAAGTAATTTTAGCGATACGTTTCGACGTGTCTATGCAATGTAATACTACGTAATGTAAAACGTTGAAATATTTTGAATAACTTTCCCGAAGTGTATAGAAAAATAAACCTACAACAAATACGTTTAACGGGTTGATATTTTATCTCCTGGCTATTAGCTTTGGCTTATTATGACTTTTTATGATAGAGGTCTAAGCCACATTTAAACATCAACACATCTTGTTGTGGAACTAATTTGACTGCAGATATTCGGAAACGCGATTAAACTTCACGACTTCGTTAGCTGTGTGCGATGATTTCCGGAAGGAATTTCGATATTTCTGTCACCTATTTCATATCCAGATTTATGAAACTCCAACATGTTACAGAAAAATGATAAATTGAATACTGTCTATAGTTTACGCGAGTAGTACACATTTAAATAAAAAACTTTAACGGTTTAAAACGCGATATATTAGTTAAACTTATTTGGAAATGATTTTTAACTTTAGCCCGACGTTTCGGATGCTTTCGCAGCCGTGGTCACGGGATAAAATCATTTCTAAATAAGTTTAACTAATATATCGCGTTTTATACCGTTAAAGTGTTTTATTTAAAGGATAGAAAGATTAGAAACCTTGTGGACCCGGTAGGGTGCACTAACAAACCGTTGATTATAAGTCATGCATTGCTACCATTATAACAAGGAGTCCCTCACAAAATAGTTATTTATTTCTTATCCTCCAGGATGCTGCGGTTCATCCTACTATTATGTGCTGTGGTGGTAACAACAGCACACAAAGACCCGCACTATATGTCGGGTCGAACCACTATGGTGCATTTGTTTGAGTGGAAGTGGGATGACATAGCAGCTGAATGCGAGAGATTCCTGGGACCGAGAGGATTCGGCGGTATTCAGGTGAGCACAATGAAAGCAGAGCATGTAATTCGCGAAAAAAAAAAATAGATCGGAAAGAATTAGCGAAATATTCTGCAAATAATATCAATCTATCCGTGACCACGGCTGCTTGCAAAGCATCCGAAACGTCGGGCCGAAGTTAAAAATCTTTTCAAATAAGTTTCACTAATATATCGCGTTTTAAACCGTTAATGTGTTTTATTTAAATGTGTACTACTCGCGTTAACTATAGACAGTATTTAATATCAATCTATAAAACGGTGTCAGACGTCTGTGAAAACCACGCGTATAGTTGAAGAAACGCACAGATTTTTTTATACCAGCGTCTCTTTTCAAACAATGCCTTATTCAACTTATGCTCGACTAAATTTAATACCATATCATAGGCGTCAACAATGGTCTACTATAATCCATCCATCGGTGTTATATCGAATTAGTACTGAATCATTTAAAAAAGGGTTTCAAATTAAACCGTTTGATTCATTAAACCTTTAACCGTTTAGATTATTTCACTCGAGTGTGGAAAGGTGTATAGTTAGTACTAGTTAGAGTATCGTTAAACCACGTTTTGTAATATAGATTTTAATTAGACCAGGTTTAAATATTTTCGTAACTATCAAATATGAAAGATTAGAAACGATGTTTTTATTAGTATAACATCTAGATCTTTCCCTATATATCCTTTATTTTTGATTAATTGTTTTGTTTTCATCGATATGAATGTGTGATTATTATTTTTGAAGCGGATAAGCGTTGAAAAATGCATTATTTGTTATGTTAGTGGTTGAAAGATAATGAAGTTACTAAGTGCCTAATGTATATATTTTTTTGATATCTGTGTAGTATAATCATGTTTTTCGTAAGGATAATATAATATAGTAGATACTATTACATTTGAAATGATTATAGTCTAGGTTTACCTTTTTAAAATTTACCTAATAAAAATTATAAACGATTTGAAGATCATATTAAGATATCGAATTAACGAGCTCGTCACTTGGAATGTATTTGTAATACTCCAAACTTAGTAGTTTGGTGAAATACATTCTGTATAGTAGTCTATACCCAGTGCTTAAGAATTGTACTTTGAACACGTCAAAATACAAAATGCTCCTTTTATTTGTAAGCGGGCAAACTTTCCGTTGTTTATGATGTTTAATCTTGCTAAGACCTCTTAAGTCAATTATTCAACCGTATTTCTTCAAGTTTAACACTGTCTAAACAAACTTCAACGAATTTGTACACCTCGCGTCTTCATTATGCATAGCTGTTGTCTCTTATATTACAGAAAGTATTATGTGTTCCTCGATACTTAAATTATAAGAAACGATGTACATATTAAAATTTATTTTTAATTTTCTGAAGTAAACGTAGGTACTAAAGGGGTATCAATTTTATAATTCATTTCTTTGTAATAACTCCTTTAAGTAAGTCAGTAGTTTACACCATAGTTTTACATTCAAATAACACACATTTAACGGTTTAAATACATTAGATAAATTATTTTAACCACGGCTCGACGTCCAAATGTGTCGTGGTTACAACTGTAGCTGTAGAGCATCCGAAATAAATACATATCTCGCGTTTTTTATAGTTAAAAGTAATTTCAAAATAACACCGTGATTACATTGCTTACGTGTTACATGACATTATACAATATTTTATTTTGAATATCTAAAATATACCTAAGAAAGAAAATTTTTACACTATACTAATACGTTGAATTCTTCTTTTATAACAGATCTCACCGCCAAATGAAAACTTGGCGATTAGGTCCAGAAATCGGCCGTGGTGGGAGCGGTACCAGCCTATTTCTTATCGCTTGGTCACGCGTTCTGGTAACGAACAACAGTTCGAAAACATGGTACGAAGATGTAATAACGCTGGAGTAAGGTTCGTATAGATATTTTAAAGGTTATTAAAATTATTTTAACAGTTTAAAATTCGAAGTATATTGTATATTAATATACTTCGAATTCGAAATTGTATAATTAGGAGTTACTATTTTTCCTATAGAGTATAGTTAGACTATAGTTATTATTATTACATTTAACAATACGTACAATAAATCCGTAGCCTAATAGTTAAACTCATTGCCAAGCATTGCTAGCCACACAAATTCTAATATAGGATGGATACCTACAAAGTTTTACTCATATGAACTCAGGATTTTCCATATGTGGTTTAATAAATCGAAGGATTCTCTTATTACAATAGTTTACGCGTTCCTTCGTTACAGTGCAGCAAAACATTTGATTGCATTTCAAATTATACAAACATTCTTTACATAAGTAAATTTAAAAAATATTTAGCAGAATACTTATCTTGCCATTACGTTGGTAACTTAATAAATAATTAAAGAAAAAACAAACAAAAACAACAAATTCACGTGATTTTGTAACGATAACCTTATCTACCATGTACCTAAATAAATTGTTACCTACCCGAGTCGTTAATTCTTTTGCAATGTAAAATCGATTTTAATTCACTCATTACATCATTCTCTTAAACTAAAGTTTGGCCCTACCCAACTTTTTATATTATGCTGGATGTGCCTCTTTCAGAATATACGTAGACGCCATCATCAACCACATGACGGGAACTTGGGGCGAAAATGTAGGCACGGGAGGCAGTACGGCTGACTTCAACAACTGGTACTACCCAGCGGTACCTTACGGACGTAACGATTTCAACTCGCCCCAATGTGTAATTCAAGGGAACGATTACCAGTGTTGCGCTGATAGGGTTGGTATCTCTATTTAGTTACTAGCTGTGTCAGTGGCTGTCCGCGTAGATTGTGAAAAAAAAGTTTTAGAAAATCACCTACACTTGTTTATAAATCATAGCTGTTAACCACGACGTTGTCCTCATCCCGTCGTTCTTGCAAGTTAATCTTAAAAGATGGATATATATTCCAGACATTTTTTTAGATCATTTAGAGAAGAATCATTATATCATTTATATTTTTTGGGAATCTTGAACTATTTTCGGAGCGTACGCAAAGGAAACCCGCAAAGGATGAATTATTTTGCCCCCTTTTTTTAACTATTTCCAGCTCTTTGTCCGCCTTTATAAGTCACATCGCGATGTTTTATAGCCATTTATAGCTATTATAGCCTTCCTCAACAGAACACAAAAGGAATTTTTCAATTCAACCCGAATAATTCCTGATATTAGCGCGTTCAGACAAACAAACTCTTCAGCTTTATATCAGTATAGTTAATAATTATACAGCTAGTATCGAGTGAAAACAAATTGTTATTTCCATCAAAATTTGTTTAGCCGGTTTGGTATGACATGACCCAAGTACATTCCAAATTGCAGTGGCTAAGCTTCGATAAAGGACGTCGCGTATAAGGATAGTGAGATAGTAGGATGTATATGTACGATAAAAGTGACACAAAGTTTCGCGTTTAGCATCTAGACAGATTGTGCTGTTGAAATTCAAAGCAAATATCATTTAGGTAGTACATTTATGAATTTTCGTTTTTGTTAAGCGGCTACCTCCAAACCCCAAGTACTGTTATCATTTAAAAAACCTTTACCAGTACTACATACTAAGGAATTTATTAAAATACCGTATGCAGTTAGCTGAAAAATTACCACCATTTATATAACCATTACTACTTTTATGAAGCCTTTACCGTACCAACGTAATTATATTTTCTGTACTCTCACCGTCACCACTCACAAAATATTCGTATTACTTGTCAGTAATTACTATCAAGTTACTATCTAATTAATCACAACCTGAGTCCTTTCATTAAAAATGTCCTCACAGGAATATCTCGTTATATTTTTCCTAGATGCAAAAAAATTAATTTGAGACAGAATGCACAGCCATTGCATAGCACCTATTAAAAATGCCATGTCTAGTTATATAGCTGGTATAAAAATTGAGGACATCTTTTTTCGCTATTTTCTTATTGAATTCATTGATTTGAAGTTCTGCTTTAAAGAAAATAGTGTGTGTATTTAAAAAGATGTATATACAAAAATAGCTTTATAAATATTCGCAATGTACACAGATCGTTATTTTTAGTAAATCCCTTTTTTTTTGGAGCTATTTGAAGGGACAAAACGTAAATCAGCGTTTAGCCATGCTGAGCTAAGCTGGGTTTAATGTCTTTTAGCACTAGTTTAAAATCGTACGTTTTTATTTATTTTATTGCAAGTTATTATTATTTTATAGTAGCTTATGTTAAAGTATTTGTGGTAAAAAGGGATTATACATTTTAATAAATTAAAGTTAGCTTTAAATCTTTTCGTTTTTTGAACGAATTTTATGCTTAAGAATGTAGTAGTAGTTGTGTAAAAACGACACATAGCTTATCTACGCATTTAACTATGACATAGCATAGATTTCATTATTGTATGTTAGTTTGTCTCTTAAATTTACTTAAGTTATAAATTTTAAAAGTATTTTAAGTGAAATAAAAGTATAAAAGTTTTTAGTGGAATAATAAATAAAAAAAACCTATAATTTCCTTTCTATTACACTGTTTTCAAACGCACTTTGTTATATTTATTTCGTACTTACAGGTACGGAACTGTGAATTGTCCGGCTTGAAAGATCTAAACCAAGGTTCCGAATACGTCCGCGGCAAGATTACCGAATACATGAACCGTCTCATTGATTTGGGTGTTGCCGGTTTCAGGTAATGTTTTCCCCTTTCCCTTGGGATTACTTAAGAATATTTGAGAAGGGTGATTTTAGTGTATTCGTGTTTTTGTTTATATCAATATGTTATCTTAAAGTTATTCTTGCTTTCGTGATTGTCTTTATCTTACTATTAAATATCGTTTAAATTTCTCACGTCTGTTTTGAAGCAAAAAGTGATAAACACACATCTGTGTCCTTTTGTCTAAGCACTATTATTACAGTCAGGTTATAAATATTACGTTTCACGAGGTCTCAAGCCTTCGCCCGTAACAAAGAACGCACTAAACATTCATATAAATTTGAGACACTTTTAATGGCCTAAATATGTAATGGCTGAATGCGTGGCGTTAATGCGTGAATACGTGCGTGGCTGAACACTTTTCCCGGCATTGGTTTACCACGACATGTCCTGGGCTCACCGTGCCCCCGTGGAAACATAACGAATATAGTTTCGGTCGCACAGTGAGATAGGTCAAGGAAACTGACACAGAAATATGTCTCCCATACATTGAGAGAACGGTACTTCATTTTTGAGACTTATTCTTCTAGAATCGACGCAGCTAAGCACATGTGGCCTGGTGACCTGAGCGCTATCTACAGCAGACTTAATAACTTGAACACAAATCATGGATTCTCACACGGCGCTCGCCCGTATATTTACCAGGAGGTAATCGACCTTGGAGGTGAAGCTGTAAGCAGGAATGAGTATTCATCTTTAGCTGCCGTTACTGAATTTAAATATGGAATGGAATTAAGCCGATGCTTTAATGGACAGAATCAACTTAGGTATGTATCTAACTTTAACCCTAAGTCTTCTGTATGGAGGAAATAGTCTAATAGCATTTAGGTACTAATATGAAATCTAAAATTGTACTCGATTCGTATTAGTCTACATTTATTTAATTATTAATAATCGGAAGTATTAGCGCAGGTTGAAAATAAACTGTAACGGCTTTATCAAACTTTTTGTTCATATAGTCCACGTATTTTTTTATAAATTAGTTAGATTTGCTTGTAAAGTGTTTCCTCAATATTTGAAATTTACTTGTTATAAACAGGTGGCTCGTCAACTTTGGGCCAAATTGGGGTTTCCTAGCATCCAACGACGCTCTCACCTTCGTCGATAACCATGACAACCAGCGTGGTCACGGAGCTGGTGGAAACATTCTCACACACAAACGGGCGAAGCAGTACAAAGGTGCTATTGCCTTTATGTTAGCCCATCCTTATGGCAGACCACAATTGATGAGCAGTTTCAGCTTCCACGACACAGAAGCCGGACCACCAATGGATTCCAATGGAAATATCATCTCACCGGCAATCAATTCGGTAAAACTTTTAAAAGCGCATTTTACACAAAAAAAAGAAATGTCTCTGGCTTCCTATAACAAGACACCAACAACAAAACACATGCCCAATTACTGTTACTTGTACAATTAATTATTTACATTATAATATATTATAATTACACTTAATTCCAGATATCCCGAAAGAATCTGGGGTACATGCAAGTTGTCAATCATATTTATCTAATGGTAGTGTTGGGCTAATGATTCGTTTTTATAAATATTTCGTGGGTTCGATCCCCACCGGGTCCAGCATTTATTAGAGAACAATTGATAGATTTTCTGAAACAAGTTGAGTTTCAGATACAACATCTGGTATTAAATGGACGGTAGGGATATCGAAATTCAGAAATAAAGATGAAAAATCCGAGAAGTTTAGTCGCGTTTCGGTTTATCTCATCCCGTGTTTAAAAAAGAAACGAAACTTGCTATTGCTTATTGTACTGAAGGATGCGTCATATCGACGTATGTGTATGTGTAAATAAGAATTTGCGTCAGACGATTGATGTATTTTTAATTGGCATTATCAAGTTATCCTTTCAGAGACTTAGAAATATTTTTTCTATGACATTTTGACTGCGCTGCTTAAACAGCCGTGTCGGTTGTAACAAATTTAATTGACGACATCGAGTCATACCTAGAAGTTCCCTAAGGAAATTATTGTACAATTATAGATAATTTATAAAGCAACAAGAGCAAAAATATTAACTGAGCTGATCATGAATCATTATCATACAATCACGACCAAGAGATATATGTGGTTTGACTGAATTTTTTTTCAGGATAACACTTGTGGTAATGGCTGGGTGTGTGAACACCGCTGGCGCCAGATCTATCAGATGGTGGCTTTTAGAAACGTAGCTGGTAACACTGGTATCAATGATTGGTGGGACAACGGCAGTAACCAGATCGCCTTTTGCCGTGGTGGTCAGGGCTTCGTCGCCTTCAACAATGACAACTGGGACTTGAATACTAACTTACAGGTAAATGGCGCTAGGCTACAAATATTTAAACTTATACAAAATATTACAAGACTTTGTTTTTTTGTGTCATTGTATTTATGTAATGCTGCTGATTTGGCGACCTTTTGAAGGAATTTCTCGTCACTGTAAATGTTTAAGCCAATCTTCATCAGTTAAAGCCCATCTCTAGATTACCAGATGGGACACAGTAGAATAGTACACTTCTATACTATGATAGCATTGTTGAAATCGGGCACATATTATATTCTTTAGTGTATGCCCATTAATGGACTAATCTGATAGTTTAGCAGTTGGTGCAGACCCCAAAATCAATTTGAATAATAATAATATTTGTATTTCAAAGAAAATTTGTACTACCAGCGAATAGTCTAGACGTATTCCTTGAATAAACCTTTTGGCAATCGGTCTCGGTTTTCATCTAGTTTAGTGTTAAAGATTCGTTAACCCTCACTGGTGCAGCCTGGTGGGTCCGCTGTAAAAATATTATTTGCCTTAGTATGTAATTAAACCAAGAATTTTCACATGTTGACAAATGGTAGTTTTTTATTACTTACAACTATTTTTAGCGTTTAAAAAGCATCATGCTTTAATTTTTATTTTTATCATTATATATATTGATATGTCTTACAGACTTGTCTCCCAGCGGGCAGATATTGTGACGTCATCTCAGGCGAGAAACGTAATAATGGCTGCACAGGCAAAGTGATAACTGTTGGGGGTGATGGTCGAGCTCAGATCGTTCTTGGAGCCAACGACTATGACATGGCACTAGCAATTCATAGAGGACAAGATGTATGATTTTTTTCATCTTAATTAAACAAATAAATCGTATGTGTATATATTAAAAAGAAAATAAGGTATTTTAAGTAAAAGAAAAAATCGATAGCCTAGCCGATAGACTTTGATTTTACATCGTGTCGTAGTAAATAACAAGTTTCGTTTTTGAAACAGTTCTACTTTGAAAGTATTTTAATTTTGTTTTAGAGTGTACCGCAGTGATGTTAAGATATACCTCCAACTTTTTTATCAATTCCTAATATTGTATACCTATTGTTTAAACGCATCAATCTCAGAAACTACTTGTTCGAAATGAAAAATTATTTTTGTGTTGATTAGACCATTTATCACGGAAACCTTGATAAATATATATAAATATAGGCTATAAAACACCTGTTACAGCAGAGAAACATCACTGGAGGCTACGCTTACGTTTACTGCGAAAAATTTTTAGGGGTTATACCAAACATAAAATGAATAAAAAAAATCATGCAAACGATATCGCGGGCACAGCTACTGTTATATAAGTGCTTTATTTTTCCTAACCTCTCGACAATCTTGTCATTTAATTATGAACAATAGGCTCTCGAGAATAATTGCTCTAATCATCTAAATTCCGTTACGAAGTAACCTTCTTAGATCTAATTCTGTTTTTTTATTTCAGTCGCGACTGTAAGAGGCTGTGACGCGCGTAATGAAGATAACTGATATAAAACCGGATGAAAATGTTCCGCGAATATAAAGTAATAAATTGTTACAAGAAATGCTTCGTTCTTATTTTCTACGAAACAAGTCGTCGGTATTTTGTTTTAATGCTCATTTAGAAAATGTGAAATCTTTTTAACGATAGAGCATAGAGATATAGAAACAGACGAGCGTAGGATTTTACTGATGGAGGGTGAAACACCACAGCCATGTAACATGTCAACAGGAGCAACTGTTCACATATTTGATATTCCGGATATGGACCAGACATATTTCTTTGTCTATATTATAGATCAATTTAGGTTTTGTGCCCTTCTGGACTTAAACTATACGTGTAGCCACCATCTGAAGATAACGGTAACATATTTACGGCATTTTTTTATTTGTACGACAATTCGTCAATGCGACGAATCTAAATGTCATAATTAATAAAAGACAATTTATTCGTTTGGATAAAATGTTAAAATCATTTCAAACCTTTATCTATACTAATATATATATAAAGCTGAAGAGTTCTTTGAACGCGCTAATTTCAGGAACTACTGGTTGGAAATGAATGAATGAATTATTTATTATAAAACATTGAGATGTGACTAATAGGAGCGAAGACACAGTGGCAAACGTGGAAAAAACGAAAAAATGTATTCATCTTTGTGGGCCGTTTACGCTTCGAAAACGGCTCAAGATACCCAAAAAATATGTATGAAAGATTGATTCCTCTTTAAATGATCTCGTCTATTTTTTAAGATTACAAAAGAGTTTAAAGTTATGAAGATCAAGAGGAGGTTTGCAAAAACAAATTTGTATGCAGAAAATAACTATTCTACGCGGACGCAGTCGCTAGCAGAGCTAGTTAATAATAAGAGATAATTTGTTTGTTTGGGTTAACTGTTAAAATCTTTTAAATAAAACTTTAACGGTTTAAAAGCATATATTAGTTAAACTTATTTCTCCTGTTCCCCTGACCACGGCTGCTGCAAAGCATCCAAAGTCGGGCTGAAGCTAAAAATCATTTCCAAATAAATTTAACTAATAGGTCGCGTTTTAAACCGTTAAAGTGTTTTATTTAAATGTGTACTACTCGCGTAAACTATAGACAGTGTTAAAAGTCTTTTCAAACCTATATTCAGGATATTAAGAGGCCCATTAATCCGCAGACAATGGTTGTTATTTAAACAAAACTCGTAGTCTCGCAATAAATCTTATTGAAATAAACGCGTCAATTGAAAGTCGTAAATTGGACAAGTTGTAAACAAAACCGAGTAAACACCTTACGGTTTATAAACGTTGGTTTATGAAGTGCTAAGACTTATGTTCGCTGGAATTAACGTGTTCTGTATTTAAAACGATAATGTCCACTTCTAGTTTTATTCGTCTATAGCGCAGCTAGCTGTATCGGTTAAAGCAGGAGCACGGATCGATGTGGATGCCGTTTCAAGGCCCGCCACTTAATTTTTTCTAATACATTTATTTATATTGACGCGGTTGTTGGCGTAATGGTAGCGATGTGTGGCTAATCATTGACGCGGTTGTTGGCGAATGGTAGCGATATGTGGCTAATCATTGACGCGGTTGTTGGCGTAATGGTAGCGATATGTGGCTAATCATTGACGCGGTTGTTGGCGTAATGGTAGCGATGTGTGGCTAATCATAGAGACGTCGGTGCGATCTTCACCGGGTCCGACATTTTTCCAATCAATTTATAATGTTTCTGAATCATGTTGGACTGTGCCTGGAAATCTGGATATTAACGAGTGGTAAACATATCGAACTTCCGTAGAGGTCGTCCACCGTCCACGGTCGTGGATTTTCGAGTGTCCAATAGGTCCACAGCGCTGTTTGTTCATATGCTGAGGTGTTTCAACTACCATCAAGTGTAGCCTATACTTGTGTATGTTCCTTTAAAATTAAAAATATTTTTTAATCTCATGCCATTATGAGAAAAATATTATTGTTTTCTACAGCATTTTTGTGTCGGAGTAGTTTTAATCATTTTGTACATTAGGGAGAATCCCTATAAATAACTGGTCTGCGTAAAAAAGTTATCCTGGGCATCCAAATTTGTTTTGCAAACCTCTTATCTTTATAAATTTAAACTACCCATGACGCCGGTATACAGTGTTGCGGTCATTTTTTTAAGATCATCTTAAAGATAGATATTATTCTTTCGATACATTTTTTTTTGGTATCAACTCGGTGCAGTAGTTCTTAAGATTAGCACGTTCAAACACACAAACGAACAAACTTTTCAGCTTTATATATTAGCATAGTTTGTAATAAGGTTCTTGAAAAATATGGACGTTAGTCAAGATGACAAATAAATATGCTCTTGAGATTTTTATTACATCTACCATTCTTCTATAAATTTCTGTCTTATTCGTCTTGCACCAACCCTTAACATCAATTTAAATAAGAAATAAAGAACTTTCAAAGCTTAAACCTATATCCGATGTTTCCTTGACCCGACAGAAATGCCTGCTCCTATAAGCAAGAAACATCTAGAAGCTATTGATTTTTTATTAAATGCTATCGTTAGATGTTGTAGAGATTATCGTGGATATTTTTTATTTTAAATACATAACGTTATTTAAAAAATAAAAATGGTACGATTGTGTATAGTGTTTTGGGCCGGCTTTTTACGTTTTTCGTTTTTTGGGGCAAAGACGACTTTTTAAGCGCGGGATTTTTTTTTTTTCTCCCCAAAAAAAGGGCGCGCGCCCCTCCTTTTTTTTTTTTTTGCAAAAAAAAAAAAAAACCCCCCTTTTTTTTTTTTTTTTTTTTTTTTTTTTTTTTTTTTTTTTTTTTTTTTATTTTTTTTTTTTTTTTTTTTTTTTTCCCCTTTTTTTTTTTCCCCCCCCCCCCCCCTTCTCCCTTCTTTTTAAAAAAAAAATTCCCCTTCCTTTTTTTTTCCCCTCCCCTTTTTTTTTTTTTTTTTTTTTTTTTTTTTTTTTTTTTTTTTTCCCCCCCCTTCTTTTTTTTTTTTTAAAAGAAATTATAGTGTGTCGGTACATCCTTGTAAATGATGTACCTATATTATCTTTAGTATAGTGTATAATGTGTGAAAATTTAAATACTGAAATCGAATCAACTACCAACGACGTGTAACTGATATTGATAATAATTTCCAGCCAAGTAAATTTTGAAATACTTTTAAAGTAAATATATAAGCTCTAATATTTATACGTGAAAAAAACATATTATAACGGCAATATATATACGTTACCTAAATACTGTCTGCAGTTTACGCGAGTAGTATACCGCTAAAGTGTAATATAAATATTACAATTTAACGGCTTCAAATGCGATTTATTTTAGTTAAACTCTGATGCTTTGCAGTCGCAATGTGACTACGGCTGCGGCAAAGCATCCGAAACGTCGGGCCGTAATTAAAAATCTATTTAAAATCAGTTTTACTAATATATATCGCGTTTTAAACAGTTAAAGTGTTTTATTTAAATAGATGTTCAATAGATAATAACAAAAGTGCGTCAATTTTTTTTTTGTACGTGCCAGTACGTACTAAGTAAACAGAACATTTATTCGACCTTATGAAAACCGTATATTTGCTCTGTATTTCATGGTAAATATAGTATGCTAAGGGTTACTTTGTACTTGTCGACGTGCCGTGCGGCGTGAACCATGCCCCATAGTCCATACCTTTACTCCAGTCGAAGTTAAACCGCCAACAAGGGTTGACGCGTCCGCCCAGCGTTCGAGGCGTTAATTTTTAATTCCGATGTTTGATCAAGCTTTGTCGTACTCAACGCTTCGCTTCTAGAATTAGAATGTTAGTTTAGAGTGAGTTTAATGATTGAACTATAGTGTTTAGTGAATATTGGACGTATTTGTAAGTTTTCGAAGTGTATGAATGAATGTCGGGTTGGCGACCTGTTCCTTAATTTGATAGGTGAGTGATTTATGTTTTAATAAGTATCGTCTAAAAATCGATTTTAGATTTAAAAAAAAATACGATAATTTAATAATAAAGTTTCACTAACCTAACCTAACCAATTGACTGGACACGGTAGCTCAATCGGTTAGAGAAACGGCATTGCACGCTGTGGCAGTTCAGGGCCCGGGTCGTAAACTTTTTTCAATCGAAAATCGATTTTTAATCTAAACAGTGTACTCGCGTGAATACGTGAAAAAGTTTTCAGAACAATCATCTTTATTTATATTAAAATTATGCATTGGTAATTAGCGTAGGTAAGCGGCTTTGTTGATGCATTAATTCTAAAAACGACTGTGTAGTCTAAATCTTACACCACCAAGAGTTAGTAAATATAAGATGTCATTACATAGTAAACTTAAGTAAAGTATCCCAAAGAAAATTAAAAACACTATTTAGGTAGAATTAAAATACTAACGTCACGGATGGCACTTGAACTGGCATACATAACGTACCGTACTGCAGTTTTGTAGATTTTTAATTTACCTAATGCAATCTTGTGCAATAACATCTGAAAAATATTAAAGTTTTCAAACGATTGTATCTACGCATGGTGTAAAATAATATCTTTCGCATGCATGCGCTTCGTAAATTAATAATGATAAAAGAAAAGTATGTTTCACAATATTAAAAAACTTATCAAAGCTACAAGCTTAGCGATTCTATAAGTAGGTATTTATATATTACTATACTTTTGTTTCACAATAACACAGTTTTACGTGTTAAATATTTTGTATATTAAATATAAAAAAAAATCATACACGGATGGACTATACGAAGAAGCGATAAGATCTAGAAATAATTAATAAAATTACAATATTAATGCTTCTAAGGGAAAAATAATAATTCTTATAGTAATTACAGTAATATAGATTATTAATGCAGATTTATATGTATACTAATTGCTATTTTCAAGGACGGTTGGCTCAGTAGGTACTGAGACGCCTAATATCCTGGGAAAACATAAATAAAGTAATTTGGATGTCTGTCCACATAGGGCAAACGAGATTTCATTTTATAAA